ATTGACTACTCCTAAGACACCACTATGAAGCATGAGGCTCTCTCAGGTGTGGGATTCCTACATGAAAATGAAAAACTGTCATTTATCCATCTTCACTTTGAGTGTTATTTTGGGTTGAAATTGTTCTTTATTTTTGGTGATGAAGTTGAATCATTTCTGTCTTGTGTGTTAAATTCATTAAATTCATGTGTTAAATGTGTTAACAATTGTGTTACAATTGTGTTAAATTCTTGCTGCTTAAGAACATGAGATTAAATATTACACTTGTTTTTCCATCTAGGGTTAATAAGACATTCTCCTTAATTGTATTGAGTTGTATTTTTTGCTTCTAAGTCCCTATTTCAGTAATAAAAAAGTAATGAAGTCCCTTATTAAAATTGTTGATAAATGTAACAGGCTTTTGGGTTATATGATTATTTGTGGAAAATCAGCTTTTCTTCCTTTAAATAATTATTCTGGAGATGTTATATTACTGTATTTGAAAATATCTGATCTAGTGGCATAGATATTTTCTCTAAAAAAGACCCCAGAGTGTAATTTTCTTAACATCTTGTCATGACTCAATCAATCAATCAATCAATCAAGGTTTATACTGTATATCAATGCACGAACAGTACAGCATACAGTGGTGTTGTCAGCAATGAAATGCTTTATCCATGAGCTCTTTAAGAGGCATAGAAGAGTAGAAAGACAGAAGTGTATAGGGATTAGGTTAAGATTAGAATACAATAATTATACTCTCACCACCTGCGGTCGGATCGTCAGAAACTCCAAGATCCAATTGCAGAGAGGGGAGCTTAGTCGTAGGTCCCGGAGATTGGTGATAAGCCTTGAGGGGACGATGGTGTTGAATGCTGAGCTGTAATCAACAAACAACATTCGCACATACGTTCCTTTCTTATCTAGGTGTAGAGGCAGTGTGTAGTGCAGTTGATCTGTTCTGTCGGTATGAAAATTGCAGTGGGTCCAAGGTGTCAGTCAGTAAGGAGGTGATGTGTGCTTTGATCAGCTGCTTGAAGCATTTCATGATGATAATGTGAGTGCAATGAGGTTTACTTGAGGATCGGGATGATGGTGGTTTTCTTGAAGCAAGAGGGGGCTGTGCATTGAGTAAGGGAGCAAGAGAGGACTGTGCTTTGAGTCAGGGGAAGGTCAGGTATAGAGAGACATGAGAGATGGATGAAAGCAATATAACCAATCAGCCAGGCTCTTTGAAGACTTAAGTTTATTTCTGAAAAGGAATGAAAAGAACTTGCTTTTCTAAATCTAGTTCTACCCAGGGCAGCAGCTTTCTACATGTTAGCAAGGACGATCTGCGCTGTGAAGAGCAAAAAAGATCATGGTGTGGGAGAAGGAGACGTCTGTGTGCTTGATTAATAGTTATCTGTGAATGACATTTGGCTTATCTTGACAAACCGAAAGACCTTTGGTATTTTATTTGTGCAAAAATCTGAGACTTCTGGATTCTGTGAGATGAAGGCCCTGTGTGAGATGGTAGATAATCCTGTGTGACATTAATGCTTCATGTTTTTTAAACCGGTAAGCAGCTCAGCTGCCAGTGTTATTATGAGGGACCATTGAGGAAAGTTAGTTAGCAGCTCAAAGAGGAGAGTCCACACTGCATTATAATGATCCTTACATGTCCTGGACATGTCATCTATGATTTGTGATTTCATTACACATCATATGATGGCAGTATTTGTTGTGGTAATACACTGGATATTTAAAATCCATGTTTGAGACCATTTTTATTGTTTTTTAAACAGTCTCACAATTTACTGCAAAGGAACAAGTAATAGGTTTATTCCATGCTGAAAAAAAGAAGAAAGAGAACACAACGTTTCGGCCGTGGAGCCTTCTTCAGGTGTGAGAGGGACAGGGCAGTTGGCAAAGGTTAAGTAGCGGGAGAACAAAGGTTGGGAGGGAGGATGAGTGAGAGGATGAGTGAGGTCCCAACCACACTAAAAACTCTCTTCCTTTTTCACAGTTCCTTAGGTTACGACGACTATGCAGCGACGACATCGACTTCTAGAACCAAGCCCTTGAAATGTACTCATTTTTCATCAACAGAGGATACCCCAGCAGTGTGATTGATAGGGCCCTTGCCCGAGCCAAAAACACCCCCCGGACCATCAACCCGATCAGGAACTCCCACCGTAACAACCGCATTCCTTTGGTGCTTCCTTACCACCCTAACACACTTCCTATCCCCAGGACCATTAACCCGAACTTTTCCATCCTACAGGATGATCCCTCCATTGGGGCCCTCTTTTCTGATCGCCCTATCATCTCATATCGCCGACCACCTAATCTGCGTAACCTCCTTGTTCACAGCTCCCTTGACCGCCCTCAACAACCATCCACACCAGGCACTTTCCCTTGCAACAGAGCTCGCTGTATCACCTGCAAGTACACAGCCACCACCACACTCATTCAAGGCCCCTCAGGACAATTCTGGATCACCCAGACAGCATCTTGTACCTCCAGCAACCTTATTTACTGTATCTCTTGCAGTAAATGCCCAGCCATCTACATTGGAGAAACAGGAAGGAGACTCGGAGACCGCTTCAGAGAACACGTCAGGGCTGTGAAGATTAAAGATCTCTCCAAGCCCATTGTTTCTCATATCACCTCTGACGGCCACGACCACTCTAATCTCTCCGTCTGTGTTCTCAAAGACGGTTTTCCGAACTCATACATCAGAAAGACCACCGAAACTAAAATTATTCTGCAGCTAGGATCACACATTCTCCCTTCCCTTAATGACAGATTACTGTTCTTTTAAATTTTCTCCATTCATTGGAAGTTTCATTTCACACCTCTCTGCACCCATTCTGACTTCACACCTCTTGATTGGCCTCTCTTTCTGTCCCCTGCTCCCGCCTCTCACTCCTCCTCCCTCCCAACCTTTGTTCTCCCGCTACTTTACCTTTGCCTACTGCCCTGTCTCTCTCACACCTGAAGAAGGCTCCACGGCCGAAACGTTGTGTTCTCTTTCTTCTTTTTTTCAGCATGGAATAAACCTATTACTTGTTCCTTTGTAGCCTACGCATGTTGACGCAGCTACCCACCTTCACAATTTACTGTTTCACTTTGTAACTGTTACAGTTCATTAATAACATGCACATCACTACATTAATTATTTGGTACCCCAAATGACAAAAGGTTAAGATTGAAAGTCAATCAACCAGAATAATTTTTAATAACTGCGAGGCCAATGCATTCTGTATACAGTTACACAGTTATACAGTTATATAGTTATACAGAGCTGTGTGTGTAAGTTTGATATTAGGTAAACCAGACTACCATTTGGTTTTTAATATTGTAATGTGTGGAAAGTTGAGACAAGGTCTCTTCTCCTTCCAGATAAATTCAGATATGAATGGATTACTGTCACAGGCGGCACAGTAGAGCAATGGTTAGCATTGTTGTCTTGCAGCACTGGGGCTCTGGGCTTAATTTCAGACCTGAAGTGCTGTCTGCAGGGAGTTTGTGTGCTCTTCCAGTGTTTGTACAGGTATCCTCTGGGTGCTCCAGTATCCTCCCACAGTCCAGATACATACTGTACTAGTAGGTTAATTGGCTTCTGGGAAAATTGGTCCTGGTGTGAGTGTGTCTGTTTGCACTGCAATAAACTTGAGTCTCATTCAAGGTGCATCCTACCTTGTGCCCACTGCTTGCCTGGAAAGACTCTGGCTTCCTCCTAACCCTGTACGTGATAAACTGGCTATAAATTGAATGAACTAGCATCCTGCGAGAAACTGTGGTGAAAGAAGGAAAGAGCCTTGGAGTTCATGATTGTTTCAGTGTTGCACATAATGACCAGTGTTTTGTCAGCTTGGTGTTTGTCTCCTCCCTCTAATCATGGTCTTTAAGCCTTCCTAGTACAAATAGTGGAGCTGGTGCTGCAACTTTGGAGCTTTATAAATTAAATACCGGAATCGTTTCCCTGAGTGAATGCAAACCAATGTATTCAGGATCTTTCCATTCAGTAATCATAACAAATCCTTCAATAAAATCCATGCAAGTTTATATTTTTCACAACTATTACGTATTCTCTGACACACAGACTGCAAGCTGCTGATGGTAAAGCACAGGATCCCAAAGACTACACCCAGAACCTTTACATTAATTTCTGAGCACTTAGTCTATTCCACTCCTGCAGGAGCCCAGACACAGTTTCTGGCCCTTGTCCTGCTGGTTACTGCAAAGATCATTGACTATTTGCCTGCCATCTTCACAGAGCTGTCTGACCTTAACCATGGTGATGGTATTGACTCCGTTCCCTGTACTACTGTATGTTCTTTAATACCCCAGGGAACAGGGAACATTCTAGATATTTATATAAAAAAGGTGGCTTCCTTTCCAATTCCAGACAGTGTCATATTAGGCCAGATTTGTTTTTTTATTGGATATTATTTAGAGGAACACTTACAGTAGATGTGTGAGCAAACATCTTCATTGTGTTTTCTAGAATTAAGTTATTTATTTATACTTATTTATTTATACAGTTTTAAACTGATGACCTCTGAAAGAATTGCTGCATTCTTTATTGGTGATGTTTTTTTCTGTTTTTGTAGTATTGTTCGGTTGGACCCCACTGTAAAACAAATAGTATTTTGCATGAGGGATAATAAAACTTCAATGGAATTGACAGGTGCGGCTCTGTCATTTTTAACCCACCTGTAACAGCCACACTGCTGCATGTCAGAGAAAGAAAGAAGCTACAGTTCAATCACTATGTTTTCCATAACATATTCCAGCACTTCAAAACACTTTATACTAATATAAAATCACTAATATTTCACCATTGCGTCATTCAATACTGATGAGAAAGCTATTTCATTTCACTGTTGTACAAACAGGTTAGATTCTCAGACTTGTCCTAGTTCAGTTTGTTTTGTGAAGATCTTGCTACACTGGGAAGATCCCTTTAACTGTGTGTCAGAACAAAAACAAGCAGATCAGGTTCAACCTGTTTTGACAATCCAGGCAGTTTCTCTCTCTCCAGCAGCTTGTTATTTCTGCTTTTTTCAGTTTTTAAATTATTTACTTCTGTTCTGAACTTAAACACCAGAAGCTGGTGCTGAGTTGGATTACTGAAGCTGTTGTAGCTATTGGACTTTGTGGTTCTGGTGAGTAACTTGGCCTGAAGATTGAACTTACTTTCACAAAGGTCTGGGATATGTTTCGTACTACAGAACAGAAACTGGAATGAGAAAGGTGTGTTTTTACAACATAAAGACGGTAAATGTTTTTACATAGTTCAAAAAAAGTAAAATAATTAGCTGTTGTGTATTGAGCTGGACTCTATAGAAGTTCAGATTCCTCAGTTAAACATCAAAGAGACCTGTGCTCCCTTTCTCCTAAAATAGCAGGTTAGTTTTCATAACACGCAGTGTTTATTTTAAAAAAACAGTTTCCTTTATTCTATGTTTAATATTGCTTTGAGTTTAATTAGTTTCTTTTTCTATATAATATTGTTTTGTTTACATTTCACTTAAACTACTTAAGAATTAGAGTAGAAAATTCTTTCAGACATTTAGTACTAAACAAAATATACTAAATTTTAATTCTATAAAATAAACCAGAGTAAATTAATGAATTTTAAAAAAAGGGAGTAAATTAATGAATATGTATAACAGTTAAATATTCATGGTACTGTATTTCACCGCATTTAAAAAAAAAAACATGATAAGAATTTACTGTGTAGTTCTCCAGCAATCTGAGAAGAAAACTTGTGTTCCTGTTCAGTCACATTCCTGAGTGTTCCTGGAACAAGTTGACATGAGTCGGAGGAGGGTGCAGTATTTAATTTGCTCTAGTTAACACTTACAGTAGATTTGTGTTAGAAGACTGTAAAATACAAAATGATGATACTGTAATAACCTGTATATAGGCTATAAAGAATATATCATCTATAATATAATGAAAAGAGTATGAATATTAATTATTCATGCATAAAGTCCTTAATAGTTCTCATGGTGGTGATGCAGTTGTCACTTCCTAACATCTTGTACCTGTTGGACAGATGCAGAGTTTAGAGGACAGAGAGCTGGTAAAGACCAGGACTGTCCCAAAGAGAGCAGTGGGACCCCTTGTTAATTTTTTCAAAAGAGAACACACTTCAAGGATGTCAACAACCTGTTATGTTTGACATATAGTGCCTTGAAGAGATAGTCCAATTCTTGTACAGTTTTGCTGCTTAAAAGCTGTCATGGGGTGGCAAACAACATTCAGTTGCAAGGCAGGATTAACCCTGGACAGGACACCAGTCCATTGCAGTGCAAACACACACACTCACACCAGGGTCAATTTTCCCAGAAGCCAGTTAACCTACTAACATGTCTTCGGATTGTGGGAAGAAACTGGAGCACCTGCAGGAAATCCTTGCAAATACTTAGAAGATGCAAACTCTGCACAGATAGCATTCCAAGATTTGAACATTGGGCCTCAGTGCTGAGAGGCAGTAATTACTGTAATACAGTATTTGTAAATTACACAACCTACTCCACACATCAATGCAAAAAACGAAACAAAGATGTAAAGAGATGACTAATATGAAGGAAAGGTGGAAGTCCTGACTGGATAAGTGTTCAAATAGTTAAATTAATTTAGGTGCAGTTGATCATTAATAATTACAATGTGCATTTGTAGCACAGCAGGTACTGTAGGCTGAGACTGTACCAGAGGGTGATATTAAGACAGTCCCAAGGATACATTCCTCACATTCTCACAAGGTAATTGGGGAATTGGCTGAACCTGGAGACACCAGCTTCCTATAAAAGCACACAGTGTTGCATCAGATTTTGTCTGACAAGACCCTCACAATCAGCTGGGACAGTGAGATTGTAATATCTGAGGGGGAAGATACCTTATAAAAAATGCATACATGTTATGCGTAAGGCTAGTCCTCAGCTCTGTAGACAGGGAATGGATATTGAGCATAGCTTGATCAATGAGTAGGGTTTACCTACTGACATTTACTTGTTTTGTGCCTCTGCTGTGGAGTTGGAGTAGGCACTAGAAGTTGGGGTGCCCTCTGGTGGTGAGATGGTGGAACAGTAACATTATTAAATACCATAGTTTTCCATGTTGGCTCACCAGTAATAAAGAGGACAGGAAAGACACAAGTATGGCCAAATTGGAATAAGTCTGGAATTGAGTGGGTTCTGATCTTCCACTGCTTCTGGAGTATTTGGTGTCCCCTATTCAGGTTCAATTTGTGCAGATCCTCTGGCTATGCTACCATTGAGTTGTGGATGTGTTACATTGTGAGATATGGATCTGTATAATTTTAATGGGACAGTGGTAGGTTCCAAACAGGCAGGGCTAAACCTACAGTATGTAGGAGGCTCCTTAGCTAGGCAAGGAGAGTTAGCTGATAGGACCTGTGTGGTGGGACTCCTGGCTTATAACCCTCAAAGGAAGTGAAATTTTTTTGTTTTATTTTGTTGTGTTTTGCACTAGATATAATTATTTTGTTGGTTTTCTGGGAGCACTGTCAAAATAAACCACCACATTTGAACCTTATTGCTATTGCGACTGAGCCATCATTTTATTTTAATATTTATTTAAGTTTATTTTAACCTCACTTGGGCATCCCTCCAGCCCTCCCTGTAACATTTGGAGGTAGTGGTGGGATGGCTAGCCACAAGACAGTGTGTCCTTGGAGAAAAAGGGTAGGCCTTTGTTTACAAGCAAAGGCACTGCCGCAGCTCAAAGCACAGAGCCTTGGGACACTGTGGCCTCATCAGAGGAAGCCGATGAGGAAGGATATGGTGAGGAGCTGGGAGTGTGGCCCAGTGTCACCCCTCAATAAGCAACATGTATGAGACCTGCATCAATGACAGAATCTCGTGGAAAGAGAGTGGTCTTGTTCCAAGACAACAAAAGAGAGAGGAGGGGCTGTTGGGAGAATTACATGGATTCCCTTCAGGAGATCTTAGTTTTACCCAGAGCTGCACCAGCACTGCAAGCTCAAGGAGCAACACACATGACTGCTACATGTGAATCAGCAGAGAACATCCGGAAAGAGACCGAGATTGCCCTCAGCAACAAGGTGAGGACATTGAAAACTACCTTCTGCGATTTGAGCATTGGACAGAACCTGGATGTGGTCAGAGGAAGTGTTGTGTAGGGAAAACCGGTTCAGGGACGCCAAATATGTAATCATAGTGGCTCTCTGAAGGCACCAGTTCTGTAGGGTTTG